CATGATGTGGTGTCGGGTGGGGGGGTGCTTCTCTTGGTCAAACCATGCTCTCCCAGCGGGTCACAGCCGGCAAAAGCAGAGAGCTTGGGTGACCCCGACAGTGCCACAGCGCTGACAGCCTGAGGTAGTGAAACGAGTCGGCGGTCATTCCTGAGGTAAACTGGGCCTCGGGAGCTGGGCCAGCCGTGCAGTCTAGCTGCGCAGCGCTCTGCGGGCAGGAGGTGTCGGGGTGCACTGCCCCACCAGAGACTGCAGGCAGCCCTTGGGGCCCTGGTCTTCTGTGGGTGACCAACAGCAGGTTGATCTTTGGAAATGGATTTTGAGAACGGTGGGTAAATGCTGTGTTACTAGGCACATATTAATAGCAACAACAGCGGTGTGTATGGTAACAGGATTACTACTAGCTTGCACTTAAAGAACTTTGAAAGACTTTCTGTCAGCTTTCTGCAGATTTCGATGCATATCTCCAGATGTGTGTAGGGTGTATATTCTGAGACCCATAGCTCACTGGACCATTTCAGATTTTGCCCCAAAGTGCCTTGGTGCTGCAGACTTCATGTGTCACAATTAAATACCATATCTTGCACAAGAAGCAATATTTAAATGGGAATTTTATATACGTTTTAATGGCACACTCAGCTTTGGAAAAAATTGCTGAAAAATACATACATTTTATCCTCTGTTTTGCTCTTTCTTGGGCAAAATCATTTCACAACTTAAAAAAAAAAACCATTCTCAACCAAAGTTCTGGCCCTTTGTATTCGGTTCTTAGGCTTAAAGCAAAGACTTCAAAAGAATAAGAATGAGGACTGGGTTTTTTAAATCAGTTTTAGGAAAATGGGTACCACAAAGGTCTCTCTGATCTTATAATGGGTATTATACAGATATTGTGGTGCTGGATTCATTATTATAGAATAGATGTGAATACAAAAAACAAATCAAGTTCCTGTTTAACTGCAGCTTACAGAAAAGGCCAGGTTTGTCACTAAATGTATTTATTTATTGACTGAGTTTGTTGGTCAGGATATGACTGTGGAGATGAAACATCTAACTTTCAAAGTCATTCTTGCAGCACACAGACAGGATGCAATCACTCCATGTACATTTTTGACATCACTGCAGTCCACAGTCTAGGCTGCATAACAAAAGAACATACATTGCAAGAAAGATATGGTTTTCCTTTAAAGGCTTTCACGCTAGGGAAAAATTCCAGACATAAACACAAATTGCACATATATTTTCTCTTCAAATTACCAAGTATTTTAAACTGGAGCAAGGCTTGATTTCTTTCACAACCAGCTTTGTTTTAATGATCTTACAGTGAGCATCTCCATGGCAGATGACTGGAGTAGTATCTCATTCCTCTCTGTGGCCCTGCTGCTAGTTAATAGCAGTTACATGAGTAACTGTCGGGCTGGCCAAACCTTTGATCGGAAATGAGAGCATGTGGTGAGCGATGGGCACTTCGACTGCTCAGAAGCAGTAGGTATGGCTACCCTCTGTGTTGCATATGATTCCAAGGCTGCCCCCAGCACCAGGCTCACCAGAGTGTGGACAGGAGCCCACAGACACTGACCAGGAGGCCACAGGCACTGCCCCAGGTGCAGCAGCCCCTGCACGCAGGGCCCGGTCTGCTGAAACCTGCCTGCCAGGGAGCGTTGCTGACGTACTGGTCTGGATAGTCTGTCTGAAGGCGTCTTCCAGGCCGACGGTAACAGGGTGGGAAGTGAGATGCAGTGACTGTGGTTGCTAAAGAGGCCGTTCTTGTATGTGGGCACTCTTAAAATAAGAGTATGTGGAGTTGCTCTTTAGAGTATGTGGACACTCTAAACTTAGTGTGAAAATAACTACCGGTCCTCTAAAATAATGACTTCTGTAAAGTTAAGATGATGAATGTTACATGTGGCTTTTAAAGATAACCTGCAAATTATTATTTTTTAAGAAGGTTTTTTTCATCATTTTGTGTAGAGAAGGTCTGAAATGTCAGAATGTTTTACATATTTTTCTGGACATTTTTTACCTCAGCATTTTTGGAATGTCAAATCTGGTCTTTTTGGTTTAGCTGGGGACTTCACTGAGGTTTCAAGCAGTCTTTCGACGATGGATTCTTTTATCTTTTAGAAATGAGGAAAGTGTTTACTCTTTTTAAAAAAAAACATACCGTTTCAAATACTCTTTTAGCAGTTGAATTGGTATTAACAAACATAAAACCTCATTAAACAAAGTTTTAGACAGCCTGACTTAAAGCAAATTCCTGTCTCAATGACAGCTTTTTCTTGCCTGGATACCAGCATGGCATCATTTCATGAGAGGTCTGTACATTTCCCATTGAAGCCTCGGGGAGAGACTTTCCCGGTGGACTGGAAACTTGTCATGACAGAGGCACAACATGGCTGGTGAGGCAAAGGCTGCCACATGTCAGCCTCCTCTGCCCACGGAGGAGGAGATCTATGGAAGCCAGCTCTCTTCTGGGAACTCTACTGCTGTGTTAAAGCGGGTTTTGAGCCAATATATCCTGCCTTTTCACTAAATGAAATGGTACTTTTTACCTCTTCCATTCTCGGAGCTCTTTTAAGTATAGAGGAATGGAAGACACAGAAATACCCATTGATTTATACCATCAGTCCTGCGTGGTAATAGCAGGAGGAGTATGTTGCCTGAGGAAACTTGCCTTTGTATCCATGGTTTTTGATATTGATGCAGCTTTGTCGCTTTTCAAAATATAATTCCTTTGACGTGTCACTGGGCAATCTGTTCTGAGTACGTGAACCTCTATCACAAGAAAACCTTTATCCGGTGTGACTGGGAAACTCTTGCACTGGTTTCTGTCAACAGCCAGTTATAACCTGTTAAAGTGAAAGTACTTTTTATTTGTTTTTAAGCAAATCAAATAAACACATTTTCTTTGATCTTTAAGAAGTCCTTTCTTGTTAACTTGCTTTATACTTTTATGTTTTGGCATTCATTGTAAATCTAATTATTTAAAAAGTTATTTTGTTTTAAATTATTAAACCTTTTCTGAATTTAAGATAAACAGGGGCATGTTTTGTTAAAGATTAAAAATAAATTTCACACAAAACTGCAAAACGTAGCAAAGATAATAACGTGTAGGCGTCAGAGTGTTCCAAAACAAGACTCTCTAGGGGCTCTTCTGAACACGCGGCTACGTTAAAACCATGTTCTGAAAAGGCTCAGGAAACCCCTGACTCTAACCCACCCTTTCCTGAAGCTGGTGAAAGTATTTAGAAAAAAAGTTACTGTTGCAGGCAAAAAAAAAAAAAAAAAAGAACCCCACATATTGCCGAAGCAGATGAGATTTTCCTGTTTGTTTACCAGCAAACTCTACAGCTTGCAGGACTTTCTGGAGTCAAAACTTGCCCATCCTCATCATTCAAACACAGCAAGCAGTCCAACAGACAACCAAAATAAGTACGTTGTTATCTCTC